TGTTTAGACCTTAGATTCTCCACTCTTGAAGTTTATTTCTAGCTCTACTGTTCTCAGACCCTGTAGTTCTCAAAGCCAAACTACAACTAAGGATGTAATTAATAGTACAGGTTTATTACTATTTTAGCCTGACAGAATTTAACATAATGTTGATATCTTGGGTTTCAAGCTCAGGTTGCCTAACTCAATCCTGGACACTTGAGATTGAAGCCTTCTTTTGCTAATGCTTTCTTGTTTTGTTTTTAGTTAGTTAAATCCAAAATTTGCTTTATTTAGCTCCATGCGTCACTGAGGAATAACTCTCTCAAAATATCCCTGAAGTCCCAATTTAAAGACTTTCTGATACTTTCAGAACTAGGGTTGCATTAGAGGATGGGATGGGCCAGATCAGGAGAGAGAGGTAGCCAGAGGTGGGACTGTGGCAAGGCTGGAGATCTGGGAGTGGCAACAGAGAAAGACTAGCATAGCCTTAGGGTGACATTTTGGAAAGGTAGGCAAACAGTTTGCAAGTAACCCTTGTGAAGGGTTGTTGCAAGGATCAGCTGTGGTAAATATGTATGACATACTTAGAATAGTGTGCTGGCCACACAACACGTAGTATAAAAATATTACCAATGGTTTTATTATTATTAATCTATGAATCTAGTACAGTGATTGCATTTAGTAAATATTTGACAAATATTTGTGGAATGGACAGAAAAATAAATTGACAGCTCTTTGACAAATAGTTTAACAATAATTGAAAAGCAAAGTGGTGGCTGCGCATTTGGGTGATGGTAAGATTTTTCCAGGGGAAATGGGAAAGCCCTATAAACCCTGACATCCTGTTAATATTATGTTGTTATTTTAACTGTCGGTCCAGATTTTTCACTGCTCTTCTTTTTTTTATGATGAAATGTGGAAATTTGGAGGGTCTATGGAAAATGTGATTATGGGATAAGTATTTACCATCAGTATGGCTTTTGCTAACTTCTAAGTCTGAATGAGTTTTTGTTTGAGCCAAACAGTTAAAAACTGTTCTATTTCTAAAGTTTCCCAAGTGACCAAAATGCCTCCAATTAGGAAAGAAAGACTGCTTATTCATTCCTTATTGTTATTGCTAAATATATGCACATATTTATGTTCACTGGGCTAAAGTGTCTGCTTTTCTATTGAAGAGTATGTGCAGTCAAGTCCTTTCTGGGCATGTGTAGCAGGGGTTACTGTGCCCTGTCCTGAGTCCTTCCTTGTTCAGCTGACCCCAGACCTCTTTCCTCAAAGCCCAGGTTGAGGCTGCATGGGGAGAAACAGGCAAGCTAGAGAATTATCAAACTGCTTCTCACTTTGGGAAGCTGCAGAACTATATGGCAGTGTCCCCAGGTACTCTCAGTGAAGCCCACTTACCTATGAGCTGAAACTGGGCTTGGATCAGTCCCATCCACCAGCGCTGGCAGGCTCATGACCAGGAGGCTGTAAAGGACTTCCAGACATTTAGAGACAGCAGATCACATGGTGAGTGGGGTTATATAAAGAGGTTCAGGCTGTCACCCTAATGCTTTCCATGTTGAGATCACCACAAATGGGGTCTGGCCTTCAGTCTTACAGGCCTGAGAAACAGACTTTTCCAGGGAACCTAGGACCAAATATTTGGTTAGTACTCAGTAAATATTAGAAATGTATATTCCTATTTACTCTCACTTGGTAGCCCTACTGCCAACTTTTGAGCCTTCTCTTGCAGTAACCACCTAGGCACTGAAATTTCCAAGTTTCTTTCATGCTCAAGGTATAAAGTGAAGGCACTGTTAACATTTGTTAACACTGTTAACACTGCTGACTGTCACTTCCTGCTTCAGCATCCATTCTCTTGGCCCAAATAGGGAGTGATGTTTGCAGTGTAAATACATGCGCAGCATTTTCCCTTAGATGAATGGAAACAAAAGTGTATTCGGTTTCTCAGGAGCTTGTCTAGAATGGGGAAGTCAACTGGTTTGTAGACATATACAGAATGTCTCAAGCTTTTGAAACCCATCTTGTCATTTCAACCTAAGAACACATCAGATACCCTTTCATAAGAGAATGTCTGTGCAGAGATACCCATGGCTAGAAGGTTTGATAATATTGGTACTTACTTTTGCACAGTATTATAGTAAGTCCTCTCCATACATTGGTTTATCAAATCTTCACAAGAACCCTGCACACTATGTCATAATTCCCACTGGACAGTGGAGGAAACCAAGGCTTCGAGAGGTTACACAGTTGGCTTAGGTTCTGCAGCCAATAAGTTGCAGAAGCACAATGTGAATCAGAATTCTGCCTCTATTTCTTCTGCTCCTAACAGCAAGAGCAGAGGGAGAAAGAGAGCCAAGCAGGAAACAGGAGAGAAAGAGCTTGGCTAAAGCAAGAGGGAGGGGGAAACCAGGGCAGGACATAACTGACACTTGAAGGGGCAGCAAAAACATACCTCAGAACAAAGTGAACCCACTAGGTTTGCTGCTCTTTATAATTTAACCCATAGTCGAATCATGTGGAAAGTGTTAGTGGTTTGACTCAGTGGGACTGCCAGCGAAACGTAGATTTAGAAAGTTGAAGGAGGCACCCCAATGTTTGCTTCGTCTTGGGATAAGAGCTGGGCAAAGATCAAAGCAAGAGAAGACGTTAAGGAAACACTGCTTTAACTGCATGCAGGAGGAAACTTTTCACAACTGGAAAATGCAAGCCATTACTGCCAACCCCGGAGCACGGAGGCTTTACCTCATTAATCATAACTGTCAGGCTCCTCTCTGTAAACAGCAAGCTGTTGACACACAAAATATCTTCTATTTCTCATGGAAAAGCAAAAAAGGGAGACGGAGAAATATGCGAGTCATCGAAGTAAGTGTTTGTTAGTGTCAAAATAAGATGCTCTGTGATCTTACCAAATACATGGCAATGAAAAATTTTGAAGTCGTTGGAAAGCTTCAGAAGTTTTATATTTAGATAGAGCTCATCTACATAAAGCTCCTACAAAGAAAAATCAAGAATAAATAGAGATGCACTGATGATGCTAGTGATCATTAATAAAAGGGAGATGTCTAAACTTCAGTGTAATCCCATTGATTTTTGTGTATTAGTCAATCATGTGATACATTCCTAAGATTTAGTGAAAATCTCCACTTTCACAGGTCTGTTCATTCTAGCCTATCAAATAGGGTAGATGGGGCTTGGGCTGGTGGGCTAGACGTGGGGCTTCAAGTCAGAGGGGTTGGGCAGGGTCCATATATTGCCTCATGTGTCAGGAGAGCAACCATATCCGATTCATGCATATCCAGCTACCTTGGTGGGGGAGCATAAAGTAGTAAGGAATCTGAGAGAGGCACTACTAACATCAGATCCAAAGGGGCAGGTAGAGAAGAAACAGAGCCGAGTCGGGGCATTGGATCAATGCACAAGGTTGGGAAGAATGATGCATTATTCTGGGACAAAAGCAATAATAGGACACATTTGTAAGGATCAAGGTCAGTTCTTGGTTTCTTTCTGCCACCAAACCTTTGCCATCTCTAGTCAGCATGACGGGAGCCTTCCTGCTTCCCCGCTTGCTGCCTCTGCCAGAGTGTGTAAATCAGATCACATCACTCCTCTCCTGCATCTCCAGTGCACTGAAATTAGAATATTATCCAACTGGAAATTAGATCATTATAATATCCAAATATTATTTCTTAATATCCTAGTATGTGCTCTCCTTAGATATCCAGTGCATCGAAATTAGAATGATACCCACATTTCTCATGATGGTCACCTAGTTCCTATGTTCCCTGGCCCCAGTTCTCTCTGACTTCAAGCTCTTTAATTCCTTCTCTGATATACTGTGCTGTGGTCATACTGGCTTCCACACTCCTCCCTAACAAGCATAAAAACTTGCTTGAAGGATTTTTTCCTCCTATTGTTCTTCTACCAAGAACACTCTCTTCCTCTAATCTTAAGATTCTTGTCATTCTACTCAAGATTTAAGGCTCATTTCAAAGCTCTACTTATTCAGAGAGGTCTTTCTTGACTGTTTTATCTAAAACAGTATACATATCACTGCCTAATATTCTATTATATATATTTTTAGTTTACTTGTCATCTCTTCCTCCATTAAAGAAGTCCTAATGAATTCATTAAATTTTCACATTCAAATGTGACATCAAGGAGGCCGTGGATTTTTTTTTTTTTTTTGGCTGCTGTATCCTGGAACAGGGACTGATGATACACAGTAAGCATTCAGTAATTTTTTAAAGGAATGAATACATGAGTGACAGGCAGACTTGCAAGGAAAGTGATGCCTGGACAAGGAGTCTTTATATCTGGGTCAGTCCTGACTAACTTTTTTAGCTGTGACTGCTGGGCTACTGTCTGCAAGTATTGAATACGACAGACTTTCCTGACAGACTGGCATCTGTAACATGTATTGTGATCACATGTGCTAATACATGCGAAAGTGCTAGGAAAATATGATATTTAGCAAGAAGCCAGTGGCTCTTGGGCAAAAAGTCAGCCTCATGCATGTAGGTCTAAGACATTTATGCTTTGCCCAATGTAAAGCAGAGAAAGAAGGTTCTTTGAAAGAAATTGGGTTTGAATTTTTCCAATTAAGAAAAGAATATAAGGAAAATATTTATTTCACAGGCCACTTATTGAAGATCCTAGAATAGGAAGAGAGTCAAGAAATATATCCCATTTCCTGCCTTCAGAAAGGAACAGCATTGCTTGTGCTTAAAACGGCAGCACGGGAGTCAGACCACTTGCCTTTGACTCCGTTCCTGTCTGGCTGTGAGACATTGGGTAAGTCACTTAACTGCTTTGGGCCTAAGTTTCCTCATCCAAAAAGTTCAGAGAATATGACACCCATTTGAAATACAATCCTGGGAGGATTATATAAAATAATGTTCGGAAATCATTTTGAGCAGTACCCGTTTAATAAATATTAGCTATTATTATCTCCATTTTGTAACAAAGAGAAGGAATTTTACAACATTGAAGGAACTTTTTCCAAGTTGCACAGCTAATATATGGTGGGGCAAGATCTAGAACCCAGAACTTCTGCCTCTTGAAGTGCTGTGGATAGATTTAAGTATTTAAAAAAGACTTAAGCAATTAAGCATATTTAACATGTAAAATAGACATCAGCTCTAAAACAAGGTATTATTGTAACAGTTTGTGTAAAGAAAAAATATGTACAAAGATATGGGTGAAAAGTGCTGAAAGAGTGAACACTAGAGTGCAAATAGTTTCTGCACGGCAGGGGAGTTTGAGCATATGAACAATTTTATCTTCTTGGTGTTATGCTGTTTACCATGTTATTAGGATTCATTAGGAATGAACTATATAACCATAAAAAAGTTATTTAAAAAACAAAACTACAACTCCAGTAATGACACTGCTATGTCTCTAAAAAGTACGATTATATCAATCCTTACATCATTTACAATGGTTCACATTTTCCAAACAGTTCTGGTTTAGACTCTTGCTAAGCTCCCGTAGAATCTGCCCATGTGCTGGTTTCCCATGCTGACACACTAATTCTGTGTTTCGGCATCATTTCCTCACATGCTCATATACTATTTCTATCCCAGGCACCTCGTGTCGTGGCACTGTAAAAATGTTTGATGAATGACAGAGCCATTGGGATTCTGACTGAAGAAAAAGTATTTTTGAGGACTATCCCAATTCCAAAATTATTGAGATGATTCACAGAATCTCATTGTCTGTACTAGTGAATTATTGTTTCACATTTCTGTATTTCATTCTAAGACTTATGTTGTTTTTCTTTTACATTAGAACATTTATAAACCACATTTCACATTTATGTTTCTTATCCAAGTATTCTTTATCAAGAAGATTTTAATAATCATCCTCTGTAAAGTACCCTAAGGAAATTTGACCATATTACCCTTTAGGTTGATTTCATATGTTGAAGGGGTTTTCATGGACATTTTTATTACTTGTTAAAATAGTTTATAATCTAAGTTTCAGGCTTGTCTCAGAAAGTTTTGAGCCTGTTTCTTTAGCAGAGTTACAAACGAGAATTTAAAAGGCAGTGAAACTTATGCAAACCCTGGGATGGTGCCATCTGTGACACACCTGCTTCTGCCGGCTTCCATGAGCGTGGCTTTGGTTGTTGCAGGGGCTAATGTGGCCTGGTGTTCTTTATGGGGACTGGAGATAGACAGATACCTATCTTCAAAGGAGACATTCTTCAAAGTAGACATATGGAAGTCTTCACATGGTCAGATTGGGAGCATAAGGATTAGCGGTGTTAAACTGAATCATACAGGGAAAGCATCAATGAGGAATTTGTAAACAGAGGAGCCACTCAGTGTCTGACTGACAGTAGTCAGACATCTAAACTGCTGCAGGAGGTGGGCTGACTGGCCCACAGGGGACAGCATTTGGAGAGACAGCTGTCAGCCTCACTGGACCACGACACTTCACATTCTTCTTTTGTTTGATTATATATCCCAATAGACAATGATTACTTTGAAATGTGACAACATAGCGAAGTATATAAGACAACACACAGTTTTAACCTTGGGAAAATTACCTAGGGTTTCTGGGCCTAAATTATAAATAAAATGATAACAATAATAACAGTAACAACAAGTACTATTTATAGAGGATTTACTCTGCATCAGGTGCTATGCTAAGCATTTAGCATGTACTAACTCCTTTTATAAAATGCTTCCCTCATACGGTTTATTGTTGGGACTAAGGGAAATAACTGGCAAAGTTCTTAGCAGTGGACCGGACCAATAATATGAGTTTTCAAAGAAGTTAGCTATTTCATTGTTATTACAAATAATAATAATGAATGCATCTTTTTTCAACTAAGAATCTAAGAGGCTTAAAAAATTTTTGGCTAGATGAAGTTCCAAGGCCTTGTCATATCCCAGAAATACCCGTAACCTAACCCAGGGCCTGAAGCATATTAAGTGATTGACAAATATTTATAAAAATAACAAATATTCTAAGTCATATGGATACTTTTGTAAGTAGATTTCTCAGGAAAGAAAGTATGTAGTGTTCATCAGATTCTCAGAATATTGCATGATCTAAGAACTAAAGAACCACTACTTCGAAAAAGAATTTGTCACCGTGTGAGTGATGAAGTCCTAACAAGAACAGCTGGGAAGCCGGGAGGACAGACCCCAGTGGCGCTGGCTCCCCACCCGGGAGGATTTGGAAAGGCCTTGCGGTGCTCGCCTCTGAGTCTGAGTTCGCAGTCCAGGAGGGCTCTCTCTCCCCACCTGGAAATCCCCCCTAGCCCTCTGGAGCCATTCATAGAAGACTCTGGGATTACTGGCTGTTCATCTGCCATGAAAGGATGATTCAATGTCAGATCATTTCATTCTGGTTTTGTAGGAGGCACTGACTGTTAGCACTGGCAAGAACCTTGTCCATGATCTATGCCAGAATTTTCAAATTTGGACCAGAAGTGTCACCCCTCCCCACCCTGAAATCATGGAAGACATCTCTAATTGGCGACGGCAGTCTTTACATCTGTGTCTTTTAAATTAGTACTGTATGTAACCACTAGCAATTGGTTCAAATTAGTATGCTTGAGGAAACAGTTTTCCGTCCATACCACACATTCATATCTTTCTGTTACAGCTGGAAAAATCTAGGAGATGACATTTAATACCTCCAAGGGTTAGATTTGAGTGCTGTAGAGTGAGAGATATGAAAACTTTGGGACACGAGGGTTGTGACTACAAACTATAATCATTTACGTACCAAATATCATGTCCTTTGCTTATGCTGTTATTTTATCCTAATCTTTCCTGTAATAAAGAAGGAAATACTTTCAAATGATGATTTACCTTCTTACCACACAGCAATCTAGAGGCAGCTAAAAGCAGGCTCTGGGTGATGAAATTATAAATGATTAGTTTAAGTATTATTCCGTATGTTTTTTATTTTAAACAACAACATAGTTATGCAAAGGCTCAGGTCTCAGGCCGCTCCTCTCGTCTCTTAGTATCTTGAAAAGAGCAGTGTGGGCAAGTTCTATACTTAAATCTAAGACACCTGAACTGTTGCACCTAGCTGAGGATTAGTCCTTTTCTGGGACTCAGTTTCCCCTACTGTAACAGGAAAATATTGGACACTTCACAGGAAATCAAAACTGGATTCTTGTGCATGGAAGAGAAAAAATGGCTCATCGTTGAAGAGTAGATTATGAACATTTATTTATTTTCTTCTGTGTGTGTGTGTGTGTAAAAAGAAAGCAATTTTAAGTGAGGATGAGAATTGACCAGGGAAAGACATGAAAATAAAGTGCATTTTCACCTTTTTAAAGCATCAATTAAATAACATAGACCTGGTTTCAAAATTACTAAACATCATCGTAGCTCCTATAACAGTGAATGGGATCCTCCTTCCTGTACATTATGAGGGCACATAAGTTAGAAGTCCTGTCATAAAATTTTCCAGTTGATTCTATGGAAAACTGGAGAAAATTGGAGTTTTTAGGCAGACCAGCAGAGATCAAGTTCTGGCCTGGCCTAGATTTCTGTTTCTTTTGAAGATTGTAAGGATGGCCTGGGAATGGAGGATTGCCAAACACGTAGCTGTCCTTCTGCCTTTAATATACACTCTAAGTAAACTGGCTTAAACCCCATCCTTCTCTTTCCTGTTGTATTGGCCCCTCTTTGCCATATTAAAAAGTTACAGATAGAAATTAGAAAATAAGCCAGCATTACATGAGAACATATTTATTGTCTGAATAATAAAACTTGGATAAGGAGTTATTAAAATTCCCCCTACCTGAAGTACAAGTTTCCATAAACAAACGGAAGCAACTCCCCCAAATGAGAAAGAATACATTGGTAAACTAAATCATAGGCCTTTGGGGGCACTTTGGAACAATCAACCTACTTCTTCCTAGTGGACCATATGTAGCACTGATGACACAGACATCCGATGCGAGACATAGCAAATCAACATATGAACACGTGTGCATAACCACCACAAAGTTGAGACTTCAATGTGGTCGCTTTAATTGCCACGCAACCACTGAAGCACTTCAGACATCTTCCTGCAAAGGAAGATTCGCATATAGTTGCTGGCCAATACTCTTACCAAAAAAAAATTCCTAAAAACAAAACCTTAGAGATCATGGTAATAAATAAGAGAGAAAAGGTGAGGAAGAAACAAGCAACTTCCATCTGCAGGCAAGCACGCAGATGCAGACGCAGAGCACACCTCAGTCCCCATCCGAGACACAGGTGACCTTGACAGCTTTCAGAGCCCCTGAGACACGGCTGAAAGCAGAAAGGAGCTATGTATGCACACAGCTTTCTGAGTATTTCCACAAAATCTCCAGGACGGGACAGCTAAACACTGCATAATTTGTGCCCTTTTAGGTGTGGCTGAAACAGGTGTCTCTGCAGTTATCAAGCCTGTAGGAAAGGTGGGAGGCATGGCTTAAAACTTTTCAGGTGGCAAATCAATGGCAGGCACATAAATAAGGTAAAACAAAACCACTCAACTCCCACTTCTTTCAAAGAGGACTTCAGATTATTCTCCAAGTGCAAATCTGGATGAAAAAATTGTAAGTATAAGGGAAATGTCAGCCCTGTCTTCTGTTCCCCAGCCTCCACAGCAGGGTAGATCTGGTACCCTCTGCAGGCAGGGTGCCCAGTCACCTATACTTTAAGATAATCGTTTTTCAGACGACCTAGTCGGGTCCCGTGGCTCCTGATGGTGAGGGCCAGCAGCTCGTATCTGTCCCTGAGCCCCACAGAGATGGCGAGCGTTTCCTTCAGCAAGGACTTGGTGTGGACCAGCATCCCCAAGAAGTCCTCATTGAGTCTGCTCTCCTGCCGGCTGTCCTGTTCCTGGCCCTGCTTGAACTTGCTTTCCAGCTCAGTGAGGGACTTGTCGGAATTGGAGTAGGCATCCCCGATCTGGTGGGACTCCCGGCGCAGGTACTTTCCGTAGCTCTCTTCCCCGTCCAAGTCATAGGAGATGCTCTTACTGATGCCCTCCAGGACCCGCCCAGCGTCCTCCACCTGGCGGCCCAGCACGGTGAATTGTTCCCGCAGGGTGAGGCTCAGCAGACGGCTGGCCTGGCTCCCCTCCCCCTGGGAGCAACGCCGGTGGTCACTCACCCTGAAGAGCAGCTGGCACTTCTCCGGGTCATCGTTCTCCTCGTAGTCCCCATCGGGCACAAAGTAGTGGTGCAGCGTCCCATTGGACATCTCCGGGTAGAGAGGGCCATCGAAGTAGCCCTGACAGAGGTGGCAGAAGAAACCCATCCAGAGGAACTTCAGAAACACCATCCTGTATGTTCAGGATGACAGGGGACCCCTGGAGAAGACTTTTCGCCCGTGCACGAGAAAGGGGTCCCCCTTGGGAGTCAGCGCCTCCCTGAGACGGCGGCAGCCTCAGTCCCAACCGGCTTGCTGCACCCTGTCTCCACCTCCCCAGCAGGCTTCATGTGGCTGTGGCACCAGCGCCTGGGTAGCAGGGTTAGCACCGCAAGATGCACCAGGCTCTGAGCTGCTGCGCTATGTGCTGGGAGGCTGGAACTCCGCAGGGATCGCAGGGCTCTGGCGGGATGTTGGCTGTGTCGCCTGAGCTCACTCTCGGAGTTTTCCCTCGCAGCAGGGAGACGGAGCCTGTCGCTGGAGAGAAAGACTGGTTCTTGCTCTCTGGTACTATTTCAACTTCTGGACTGGGTGGGAATGCGGAGCTTTTCCTTTGGCTAATGATATCCTGAGGATCTCTCTGCTCTCAAATTACAGCTGGTTTCGTCACTTGGAAGCCAGGGAACAAGTTTGGAAAGAAACCTCTCATCAGGTCTCTGTTATTAAAGGTACAGGGTCTCTTTTTAAAGATTGGAAGGGAGACCCTAAAAATAAGAATTTGGCTTGAAGGAAAAAGTGGGGACAGGATAGGTAGAATTCCCATAACAACAAGACTGGTTTGCTATGGGAAAGGTGATTACCCTAGAGAAATGACATTTCACATTTTAAATAAGGATTGGTGAGATGGGATTCAACGAGTATGTCTTTTCTGTAAAAAGTTTGTGACTTTGAAGGCAAATTTGAAGTATAGAAAATGGCAGTTTGATATGAAAATGGTTCATTAAAATTTATAATAACACTTGGGATGCAATAGGAAATAGAAAACTGATTAATGCATGGTTGCAAGTATAGATAAGAATAAAAGCTGAAGTGAAATTTTGCCAGTTTAAAAAGTAAATGGACAAGTGAAAAAATTGTTTAATTTTATGAAAAAACCTCCATGCTAAGCTCCTACATTGTATCTTTAACTTGACACCTTTATAGCTATTACCTGTTTTAGGGCACTTAAAAGCTTTTGAAAAATGTAGAGCTGGAATTCCAGATTTTCCAGATGGAGAAACAAAGGGACATGATGTTAAGCAAACTGTTTATAGTCACAAAATTCTGTTGTCGTTAACGTCGTAGTTGAGCCAACACTTACTAATTCACAGGGTCTTTTAAAATAGGGAAAAGGTACTTTTTTAACTGGCCATTATATTTTCTGATTTTTAATTGATTAGCAAATGGCCATCCTTAGGCCATCTAATTTGTTCAACAATGTTTATGGGGCACTTCCTATATACCACAGTCTATTCAAGTCTTGTGAACAGAGCAATGAATAAAAAATAGAGACAGATCCTTGCCCTCCTGGAGCTTGTGTTCCTGGGAAATGAAGAGAGGATTAAATAAGATATAATGTGTGTCGGGTAGCAATGGGGTTGTAGAGAAAAGACAGGGAAGGGAGTGGAAAGCAAGAGGCAGCATTCCTATTCCCGTGGTTATTTCCTGTTTCTGACTTGAAATCTAACTGAAACACTCATTCGATTTGCCTGTGCTTATACTCATCATCCTCTGCAAGGCATATGGGACTGGTATCACTCAGAGCCACAGTGCCAAACAGTTTTGGGACTGTGACATTTATTGCCATCACTTTCACTGCCATGAAGCCAGAGTCTTGCCATGAAGCCATACACATGAGAAGTCTTGTCAGATTTCTTGTTAGGATATTTTGTTCATGCTTTGTCATGTGCAAATATGACATGTGCGGTATCATTTTTGAGACATGTTGACTGCATATTTTTCAATGTTAACCAATTTACTTCCTAACAACAGATAGTTTTACATGTATTTTTATGTTATCCCCATTTTACAGATGAATAAACAGAAAGGTTAAGTAACATAGCTGGCACAGAGTAAATTTAAGATCCAGGTGCTTTGACTGCAGATTCCATGTTCATAATTACTGCACTAAATTGGACTGAATTAATCCTGAGCCACGTGGTGGCCTGCATCCTTTATGAGCACATGTCTTCTTTGTCCAAAAGCAGACAGCATATTAAGACACATGTAACCAATTTGTGTGTTACCCTTACACAGGGGCCACACTAATCTCGGTGTCACTCCAATGTTAGTCTGTGTGCTGCTGATGCTGCAACTGCCTGAACATTTTAATTCTTATCCATGTACCTGGCATCATGGAAACAGAAACCAAAGGAGTTTCCTTAGTGTTGATGCTCACTAAAAGACTATGGCTATTTTCACTATACAGGTTTGCCTCGCTGTTCAAAAGTACAGTGTTTCTGTGAAACATTTTGTAAGCCAAAATGGCATAAAGTAATTACTGTTAATTTATAAAGGAAAAATTTGGGAGCATTCCCAGACCCCCAAAATAACCTACCAAATCATACCAAATTACATATAAAACTTAAAATAACACTCACATAATAGTAGAAGCAGGAATGATATGCTACACTGCCTATATAATGTGGAAATAATGTATATACAGTGTGTTTTTACTTACAAGGGCCCACTGCTTCTATAACTGGCTTGTTGCAGAACAAACACTGAACACTACTTTCACTTCAGCCTTTTTTTTTTTCTTTTTGGAAAGCAAAAATATTCTTTAGATTTCTTTTGGTTAGTGAAAACAGGTACTTTCGTAAAAGTGAAGTGGCATGAGGTGAATTTTTGAAAAGTAAGGCATACCTACATTCCAGCAGAAAACCACAACCACCCTGACTGGTGTGGATCAGTGGACTGAGCACAGTCCTGCAAAATGAAAGGTCACTGGTTCCATTCCCGGTAAAGGCACATGCCTGGATTGTGGGCCAGGTCCCCCAGTTGGGGGTGTGCAAGAGGCAACCTATAGATGTTTCTCTCTCTTTCTCCTTCCCTTCCCCTTTTCTAAAAATAAATGCATAAAATCTTAAAAAAAAAAAGAAAACTACAACATTCTCCAGTTGAGAAACTGAACTTTTGGACTCAAGAACCAGATTGCTACATTCCTTTTCCCTGGGACATTCACAAGTGACAACAGATGGATTCAAATTGCCTCCTTGACAGAGAAGGGAAGAAAACTTCATTCTGACTCACTCCACTTCCTGCACAATCCTTCCCTGACTTACTAACTAATTCTATTAAGTACACCTACATTAAACACTTACTACTACTTGTCCTGTACATGTAGGGTGCAGTGTTAAGTTAGGTACAAATGCAAAAGTGTGCAATAAATAATTTCAGCCTACAGGGAGCTTGCTCTCTGGTTTGATACATGTGTATACACACATACATCATCAGAATAAGAATGGTTAGGAATATTTACTTTTTCCTGCAATTAACTTATCCAAAGATATGAGCTCCATGCTATGTATCAGAAAGGAATCATTTTGGTGCAAGTAACTGCAAGTCAAACTCAATCAGGTTAAAAGCAAAAGGAATTCGTTGACTTACACTAAATCTATGACTAGATTTTTCAACCTGTCTCTGGTCCAGAATCTAGTTTTCCTATCACCATCTTTTGGATTTACTTCCTCAGCTTATATTCACTCTTGGGCAGTCTTTTTCATTTGTGTTTCCAAGATGGCTATCAGTGTCATTGGGGATTTCCTTCCTCAGGTCTAGCAAAAATGCCAGATTAGATTTTCCAGTAGCTTAAATGCAGATCCTCCAAATCACCCTTGGGGGCCACAGTTAGCCTTATTTCAATCATTAATCCATCTTTGAATCAGGCTGATTGTAGTCAGAGGTTTAGGATAAGCCACTGGGCTTAGACAATAAGGGTCCTGTTCTGCAGCTGTAGGCAAGGGGCCATGCCGACTACATGGCTGGGGATTTCAGGGCCCTGTTTAGGACAGGTGAAGTATGAGAATAGATTCTGGGAAGTAACTACAAATGTTCCCTCTACTCCATGCCTTTGTCTTCGTTAACCACTTCTAAAAGACATGGGCACCCTTCTGTCGTTGGGTACTGGTAAATGTTTAACAGCTGGCTTTATGGAAGAAAAAGCTCCCTTGTAGCACTTGCTGGTTTCCATGTTGTAAATACTCCCACGGTGGCTGATGTCACTGAATGCGGAGGTGGGAACACGGCAACGGTGCACCAGTACAGAGCATTTCCATCACACACATGCATTAGATGCAAATGACCCCAAAGCACAGAAAACAGTAAAGTGTAGTAAATTAAGAAGTGATTAATCTTACATATACATCTCCTTTACTTTAATTATATGTTTAAATAACAATTTTAATAATGACTATGTCTAACAACTGACTTGCAAAATTCCCAAAAACCTAACAATTGGTTCTCATGAGAAGGTGCTAGTAGGCACCAGCATAACATGATCTTTTGCACTAAACACTTCATCTTGTTCACTTTTAAAAGGTATTTATTTGTATTAGGTTGGCCAAAAAGTTCACTGGGTTTTAAGGTAAAAATAAAAGACACAATATTCATTTTCACTAATAACTTTATTGAACAGTGTATTCACTGTTCAGTGCTCCACTACCTTCTGCCAACTTTCAGGCAACTTCATAATTTCATCTTCCCAAAACTTTTTAACTTTTTGAGCAAACAACTGTTCCACATGCCTTTTGCAGTCTTCCAGCCATCAGAGAGGTGCAAATTAAAACCAGAATTAGATTCCACTTCACACTGGTCAGAATGGCCATCATAAACAAATCAACAAACAAGTGCTGGTGAGGTTGTGGAGAAAAGGGAACCCTAGTGTACTGTTGGTGGGAATGCAGACTGGTGCAGCCACTGTGGAAACAGTATGAAATTTCCTCAAAAAACTAAAGAGGAAATTGCCTTTTGATCCAGCAATTCCACTGCGGGGATTATACCCTAAGAATCCTGAAACACTACTTCAAAAGAACCTATTTACCTGTATGTTCATAGCAGTGCTATTTACAATAGCCAAGTGCTGGAAACAGCCTAAATGCCCATCAGTAAATGACTAGATCAAAAAACTGTGGTATATTTACCCAATGGAACACTACATAGCAGAAAAAAAGAAAGAACTCATACCTTTTGAAACAGCACGAATAGAACTGGAGAGTATTATGCTAAGTGAAATACACCAGTAAGTGAAAGGGAATTTAAATATTTTCCATTAAGAGAATTTTGTAAAGACTGAAATAAATGGAAATCCAAAAGTGCAATGTTTGATGAATATAACAGATGAATCAGAACTTTCCAGCCAAGCTGTAACAATTTTTGCCTGGTCATCAAAGAAATATGCAATCTTGTGTTACTGATGGAAGATTATGTATTTTTTCTTGATTAATTCTGGGCACTTTTCTTTTGTAAATATTATTTATTTAGTTTTAGACAGAGGGGAAAGGAGGGAATGAGAGAGGGAGGAGAAACATCAATGTGTGGTTGCCTCT